AATTGGATAATTTGCTAAACACGTGCACTTATAATTTGTAAGTGTTGTCTTTATCCACATTATGACCAAATGCCCATTATTTGATATTAGTGCATCACGTGATAAATCGTTGAAATTCCATTGGATAACGCAGCAGGCACTATGAAGCAATAGTGCCCGCCTGAGCGGGCACTATTGCTGTAACAGCTGTTTTACATATGTTGCATTGAATTGGTAAATGTAGAAGCATAGGTTAGGATCGACCATTTCGCATGTAGATTAGAATTAGTTAGGTGGGGTACTAGCAGCTATGGGTTACAGAGTTAGTTTGACACTTACACACATGCTGGCCATGTGGGGATTCGTCCGTAATAGTTTGAATAAGAGAGAGAGTGGTGGTGTGTGATTGGTTAGAGTAAAGGGAAACTGGGCTGTGATTGGGCGAGAGAGTCATATATAAAGATTGGAGGATTGGAACTGAGGAGGGAAGCAGGACAGGACGGGACGACGAGATGGCGACTGTTATGGTTGTAAACAATATATTTCTTTAATTGAACACAAATTCTATATGTCTTCTTGATTATTTATACTTTAATTTATACATACAAACTACGTCCCTACATTTGGTGCTCGTGACAACGGACTGGGTTTTGCAAAACAACGTAAGGTACACGCTATAATATCATATCACCGGCTGTAACGATGGAGAGGAAGAAGCGACGAAGCAGGGAGAAGACCCGGAGAAGAACGGAACAAGAACGCAACTTACAACGAACAAGAGCTGAACGAGACGAAGATACGCGTAAACGGTGAGTGAAACAAACTGTGTCGGCATATATACAATCGTAAGTAAAGTTAAAAACAGCGTGTAATATACAAGGTGATAGTGAAATACTGTATATATACATGCACCATGTTTCTTATCCTGTATCCAAAAGGTGCATGTTATGTTATTGAGATACTTATAGGCTACTTGCAGAGCGGAACAATATTCATAATAATAAATGCCGATACAGTTAATTGTTTCACAAGCTTACAGGATAGTATGTGTGTATGTATGGTTAGTAGGTATATGGTGTCGATGTAGCAGGTATAGTAGTCATGTGTCGGCGTGTCGCTGAATGATAACGTACGTATGGCTGAATCTCACGGTCAGCTAACTCGATCAGCATTATGCGGGTGAAGCGGAATTGACTTAGATTTGAGAGATTTGAGAGATTTAAGAGCTAGATGTCGGGCCATGGGGCCATGGGCGGGTATACGGTAGCAGGAGCCTGTCACGCGCGACAGGCGCGCGCAGTTTTAATCAACGTGTAATCGGTGTGTAAGTTCGTGTTCCACACATGATCGGTCCTAGGACTCACGTCGGGGTACAAGAGTCGACGTTATTGAACGGCATTTCTGTACGCAAAACCGTTACGGTTAGCTAACGATGTCGGTATAGTAGGAAACATCATATTGTAACATGT